CACCTGGTTTCAAGCTGGCAATTCTATTTTCCTCAGGCTTGACATCAACAGAGTTTGATAACTAGCATATCAGACATGTGCTTCTCCCAGCTGCTTCTTGGCCAACTGTTTCAATGTTTTTATCAGCCACACAATCAATGCTGGTATTGTTTGGCTGGAACTCCGTTATCTCGTGAAAGTTTGCTGTACCCCTGATGGTGATAAGGGGAACTACCAGCTTGGAAAGAGGGAGAAGGGAAATAAGGCCTGGGTTAATTTTATTTTATTAAATTTGTATGCCTCCCATCTCTACAAGGTGACTTTGGACAACTTAGAATGTTTAGCTGATTAATTACTTTAGGCAAAATTGTAGGTGTAAAGTACTTTGGATGTTGAACAGTACATACAACTGGAACTAGATGACCATCTTCTCCTTCTCCTCCCTCCAAAAAGCTTTCAAGTTCTCATGGTACAATTCCAAGAATTTCTGTATAGAAATCTACAGAATATTTGTTATTTCAGTAAGAAAGGAGAATTCCATGGTGGACTACTAAAAATCCTATTTTAGAAGTCAACTCCTAAGACTGGTTAAAACAAAGCAAGTAATAAAAATGCTCTGTTCCATTGTAGAGGAAAATCTGCCCATTCTATCTCACCAGCTACTACTTCCTGGGGCAGTACTATGTTGTGTGTAAAACCCAGCAAATAGTAGTCAGCAAGTAAATATAAGGGGATGTGACCATCACAATGTACAGCATAGTGGCATTTGCCTACAAACGAGTGAAACTCAGAAGTCTGACAACAGCAGGCAACACAGTCATGTTTGCACCAGTAATAGTTGGAAAACGTTATTTGGATATGGAGTAAGAAAAGGATATTCTGCCTTCCTGCTAAAGCCAGCAGATGTCACATATTTCTCTCTTCCAGAATGGTAGGCTGACCATCCTTGCATTAGGACATTGAGGATATGCAAATGAGCCTTAAATATATTGACATTTAACTGAACGCATCCTTGCATCAAGGTCTATATACTTTTTTTTCCTAAAAAATACCATGCCTGAAAAATGAATGCAGCACATCTACATAAATAAAGGAATTTGATTCTTAGCACAAGTGGCCTACACCTGCTGTTTCATACATATGCTAGCAACTTCCTTGGGACAGCTTGACACATGGCAGTGACCTTGCTTTAACTCTAGTAAATGATGCAGGAGTTTCCTGAATGTCTACAAATGTCCCAAGTTGACATTAAAGAGCTGCCTGGATTTGACATTACCAATTCCTTAGTTTAAGGGGAAACTAAAGCCAAGTTGTATTTTCCCTCACCAGAGCAACACACTGAACATGTTGCAGCAATTGCTACTGATCTCAGAGAATAACCACCTTTAAATAATTCAGTTCTCTCATCTTCATTTTCTGGAGTTCTCATCCTATACATTTGCCTATAAAGCTTCTCAGATGTAATTAATACATACTATATAATTGAGTAAATTCTGTGTGAAAGTACTTAAGGTCTAGACTATCAATAAAATAATTACTGGTCTCAAAGATGTCTCAGTATAGTTTAGACTTCATATCTAATTAAGACAGCTGCTCCTTTAAACTTAGCAAATTAAATGTCTTGCCAACTCAGAATATGCATGCAGTATTCTGCATGATGGCGCCTTCAACACACTTCAGATCCTTTCATGGATTAAATCAGATTAACAATTAAAAATTCTAATCTGTGATTAATTAATCTTTATCAGTTTGAAACCTTCATGTTTTCATCCCTATTTGTAAGACTCACCACCCTTAATCATTTCTTGTATTCTGTTACAAAACAGCAACTGCTTAATTAACACACTTAAAAGTAGATATTTTGGCGCCAGACGTACTGATAGAATACACCTGATAGCTGTAAGCTATGAAGGATGTGTGCTGATCCAGATGATGATCCAAGCTAACCTAATAATAGATTGGCTGTGTTTACACGACATACTAAATAGCACAATAGCCAGCCACAGGCAGTATTTAATTTATGGTTCAATGAATCATGCAAAAACCCAAGCAATTGGCCCAGATAATTCTGAAGACCATGTGCGAACATGATCAGCAGTGTTAACATAAGTTATCAGTAAACTGATTAAAAGGAAGCTATGAAACAACTTGCTAATTGCAAATTACAGGTCGTCTTCCAACTTCCAACCACAATTGAGCCCCAAATTCCTGCTGTTAAGTGAATTTTGCCTCTTTTTGACAACCTTTTGTACCACAGTTGTTAAGTGAATCACTGCAGTTGATAAGCTGGTAACACGGTAAAGTATACTTGGCTTCCCCATTGATTCTGCTTGTCAAAAGGCTACAAAAGATGATCACATGACCTTGAGAAACAGCAACGGTCGTAAGTATGAACCAGTTGCTAAGTATCTGAATTTTGATCATACGATCATGGGGATGCTACAAAGGTTGTAAGTGTTAAAAAGTGGTCGTAAGTCACTTTTTTCAGTGGTGTAACTTTGAAAAGTCACTAAATGAACAGTTGTAAGTCAAGGACTATCTGTAGATTGCAATTCCCTCCTACCATTTAATTTTTTAAAAAAATCAATTCTGTTCAATAGTAAAGGATCAAATGATCAAGAAATATACAGCAGACTAGCACTTAATATAATAGCCATGAAGGGCTCTGAAAATATATTCAGATGCTGTGTTTACATCTATGAAGTTCTGAATGGTGCAGACAATGGTACCTCTGGGATAATGTATGAAAGTGAAAGTTGGACTCTGAAGAAGTAGGGTAAGCTTCTATCCCAGGGCAGTTGAATTGAATTCTACTGTATAGTGCAATACAGTAGGAGTTTTCAATTCAATGTATAGAATGTGAAGGATGTGTGTTTATGTTTATTTTCATAGTCATAATACACACTGAAGATGGTATTCAATTTGGTTGTACAAGGTGCAATGACAATAAACTAAACTAAACTAAACTAAAGAACAGTATTGATACTTTTGAACTTGATGCCGAGAAGATTTTTGAGAATGTCACAGGCAGCCAAGGAAGCAAACTGATGGATCACCAAACACATTTACACAGAATTCTCACTTGAGGAATGAATAACTTTGGACCTATTGTGCAAAGGCCTAGCTCTTTGGAGAAGGTTCCAATGGCTGGGAAAGGGAGGAGCAAAGAGAAACAGAGGAAGACCAGCAGCAAGGTGGATAGGCTTAGTTAACAGTGGTGATGAAGGCACCATTGGAAAACCTGAGGTACCAGGTTGGGATCTTCATAGAGAAAAATCTACCTTGATGTGGTCACTAAGCATCGACAATGACTAGATGGCACATAATTAGTCAATCAATCAAAACATCAAGTCTGCTGTCCTGAGATTTCTTGATAGTCTCTCGTCCAAGTTCAACCCTCCCTAACTTTCTTGAGATTTGCTCAAGTCAGATTGATTGGTGCTGCCATCTATAACAGTAATTTTGCTATAGAACAGGGGTGTCAAACTCATGTTGTCATGGCGGCATCACATGACATATCAGGACTTTTCCACCCTTCGCTAAACTGTGACGCCTCCAGCCGGGAGTTTGACAGCCCTGCTGTAGAATAAGAATGTTCAATCTTATTTCTAATCAAGGACTTCATTTCTGCAGGAATAACCATATAACGATATCCCAAGCTAAAACAAGCAGTGAGCAAACCGACTCATTCCTTCCTTTTATGGCATGGTTCTTTTTAGCATCCTTTTTTTTTAAAGCTTTCTGACTTGCAAAAAAATACTTTTTGATATTAGGCTGAGATTTTCGACTGAGAAAGTTTCTGCCTCTTCCACCCAATCATGCACAGTAGAAAGCAATGCATTTTGTACAATGGCAAAAAATTATCTTACCACAGCTCATATCAGAATACAACCATACATACATCTTATTTTGCCAGAATGGTAAGCAACGACTATCCATCTTCCCTTTGCAGGAAATCAAGCCATAGATGAAAGATTAATCTGACTAAAAACCAACCTTCTAGGCCAGTGGTTCCCAACCTTTTTTTCGCCCCGCACCACTAAAGAAATTTCACTCGAACCTCGCACCCCCTGAAATACATAATAAATAAAAATGCCAACATATAGCCAATATCCTATTATTTACTTGGATTTTTCTCGCACCCCCTGGAATACTGTCTCGCACCCCCAGGGGGTGCGAGCACCCCAGGTTGGGAACCCCTGTTCTAGGCATTTGTAACCTGCATCTGAATAAACCACTCTTGTCTTCCTCTCCTCCCCCTCCTGATTTAAATCTTGACATCACTTTAGCCACCTGATCAAAGCTTTTGCCTACATACTCCTTCTGATTTTGGAATACCATAAACCAACAGTGTTTCCCTCCTACAAAGTCTCTTAAGTGAGCTGCTGCTAATTAAGCTCCTCAGCACTACTTTTAACTCAGACACAATGTCCTTTTTATTTAATTGCTCCTGTAAGAACTGCACACTGAACGGACTTGGATTTTGCTGATAGGAAGAAAACCGACCGAAGCTGCATCTGATTTGCACATGGTAGGTAAGAACTAAAGCCACCAAGCTCAAAATCTTTCAGCAGTCACAATACAGCTGTCAGGAGAGGAGTGTGATGGGTGAGCCCCCTTGAACCAGCTGCAAAGGAAACACTGCACATTGATCTACAAGGCTGACAAACTTTTTGCTAAGCATACATTAGGGCTATTCACAGATCAAATCATTAGGAGATTTACAGGGAGGTTGGGGGAGGGTTGTGAAAGGGACTTCTCTAGATGGAAGCTACTACTTGCCACAAAATATTGAGAACTTTTACCTTATCACCGATTAGCTAATACAAGCATCCAGACTATGGGACTTTGGAAAAGAATAGCTCAATTTGCACTTGCCCACAAAAGCAACATACCCCTTTGCTAGTGCATGCTCTGAATTTATGCTGGCTGTTGCACTTGCTCTACTTTGTGATTAGCAAATGCAGGAAAAGCTAAACCTCACCCACACTGTTAATAATGAAAAAGAAAATGTAAATTACCTAGAGTAGTCTCCTTTTGCTTCCTATAAGGGAAGAAAAGTCATGTTAGAAATCTTTTTTGTTTTATAATGGCTGTTTGCATTTCATTTAGATACATCATTAAGAATGCATTTAAAAATTCAAGTCGTTTTTTTAAAAATGCTGACCTTGTGTGCAAATTAAAAATACATCAGTGGTTTGAAAGGCTTTTTTTAAAATATATGTTTTGTCATTTAAAAGTACCAGCACCCCCCAAATGTGTGTAAGACACAACCTAAAATCACACACACAGTTTCCGCTAATCTGGATCAATTTCAAACTTTTTTTAAAATCAAAGTTTCAATTTATTAGAATATATTAATATAAACGGAAGCCTCCTCTTAAGAAAAATTACATATTGGAATATATTTGTATATATATTACATTTAATAATCTAGATATGTAATATATATATATTATATTATGGAGATGTCCACACAAAATCAACATGATAAACTGAAGCAGAATTGATAAGAGACATTTAAGTGTTTGTAGTGATTTTCAATATAATTATAGCCCTTTTTCTCTAGTTCAAAATCTTTCTCCTGTGCCCAACGTATAGTTTTAGTATTATGGAAAATATGTATTATGGAAAATATATTCAATTATCCCAGGCAGATGACACAAAAGTATAGCTTATTCAAAGCACGCTGCCCCCACTCCCAATAAGTTTTCTTCGTACATTTCTTCTGCTATATTCTTCTCCTGCTACATTCTAAATGTCCGCACAATGACCGTTTTGCACGACAGCTTTGCATAACGGGAAGAAAGAACAGGTATTCCGTTTTAAACTGGGTCAGCTGGGTGAAGGAGTATAGTTTTACATTTTATAACAAAAACATAAACAACGCTGCAGAAACTCCAGTCTGGGAACCGAAGGCATGGCATGTTAATAGAAAACCACAAAATTGAGTTCAGAAAAATCTTACCTGTAAAATCAAAGCAGCTAATCTAAAGACTGTCTCGCTTTCCACTTCAATATGCCCCTGTTTAGATAAAGAGGGAAGTATCGAGTTAACACGGCTGAACTCCAGAGGGGAGGTTTACCTCAGGCTACACGGAATCTCTTAGTAGTCTGACGCTACTCAGCAACCCTGGTTTTTTCCTTCCATTTCCAGGTCGTACCATTACAGCAGAAAGGGGTGGGTGCAATTTGAGCCATAAAGTTTGGATAATTGCTTATTGTTTAATATGGAAAACGGGGGAAATCATCCCTCAAGAAAAGAACAATTGGGAGGCTGGAGGAAACTGTTAACCAGATCGCTTGCAATCTTTGATGAATCATGACTTGCAAATGTTGTATATTTTGACCCTCCGGGTTTCCCAGGGTTCAATGACTGCAACGACTACAAATACTTTGCTAAGGCACTTCTGTTTGTGGAGGGTGCTCAGAGTTATGCAAAGACACGCACACTCACAATAATCCTATGCATATACATATGTCCCCTTGAGTTGATGAAGTACAGTAAACAATAATAAGAAAGCACTATTCTCCTTTGGTGGTGAGATTGCTAAATTGAGCTATCTTGTTTAAATAAGATTGCATATTTAATTTGCAAATGAGAACATCGCTGATTAAATTTATATATGTCCATCTTTACCCTTTGGGTTAAATATCATTATGCAAAAAGCAGAAAAGGAGAACAAAATAAAGCAAAGAGATAAGAAAAAGAAATGGACGGTTTATGCCAACAGCAGTTACCCTACCCTAATCTTTCTATTTTGAAAAACTGCAGGACATCCTCCCATTATCAAATGCCAATTTAGTGACTGTTGGAAGTTAGTGCTCGGACATTTGTGTGCTTTGAAACCAACAGGCTTTTATGACTATTGCAGCATCTTATGGTAATGTGATTGTCATTTGTGCGCTTCACAATCAGCTTCATGCAAGCAGAATCAATGGAGAAGTTGGCAGTAAAATTGCAAGTCGTGATCATGTGATGTCTTGCTTAATGACTGGATGATTCACTTAAGAACAGAAGCTGAAGTGAGGTTTGTAAGTCTGGCTCATCCAATATTATTTTTTAGTTAGTGCCCATGGCACTTCTCAGTGGAGTTGTCAGTTTCAATTGTGGTCAGTAAGTGAAGTCAGTAACATTATTTCCAATGGATCCATGGACATGGCATTTTGTTCTAGAAACATTTTGTCACTGTTTCTTTTTGAAGATCTTATGAATGCCAGTGAATCACAACTTCCTCAGTCTTTCCCTTTCTGTCAATCCATTCCTCTTCCTTCATATATTTGTGTTACTCTCATTAGACACAAATCAGCTCTACAGGAAGGCTAAAACTACATATTATTGGGTATAATACAAAATTTTGACCGTCTGATTGTGTTGTACCTCTTCCCCATTTTATAATTCAGTAAATTATGGAGGTGAATGAGTCACTTCCCCATGGTATGTAGCCATTTTGAACTGAAAACTTATCATTTGTCACTTTGGCAATACAGCTCAGTGTGTACCTCTCCATCAAGGTTATATTTCTTTATCTTTACAGTTTGTTTTGCAAGTTGATCTTCAATCATATCCTGTACATGTTGTATTTAACAACCGACCTTTAATTCAATATTTCTGCTAAACATTCCATAATTCAAACCTACTCACATATGATATGTTTGCAATAAATCAAGCAGCATACAATAATCTTTAAATCTCACATGTTATCATTCACGTCTTATGGATCTGTTAAACAGCAAAAATGTGGTATTCACACCCGCCCTGGCATAAAGTTACATTGCCCTTCCTCAATTTTTGCTTATTGTACTCCTTAGATGCGAATTCTGCCCCAAAACTACACACATGCAAACTTAACCAATCCTTTTGATGTTGGGGTTGTTGTTTTTTTGCATTAATTCTTACTACATTTGCTTTTATGTAGGGAAAAATAATGGAATTTTTCTTATTGGGATGTGGTAGCTGTGTTTAGGGGGGCTTTTGATAGATTAATCTACTTTGCCAATTAGGCCCTGTCCTGACTGGGAGGCCTTGCTCACAATATCCAAACCTCCTGTTTGGATTACTGCAATACACTCTACAGGGGGCTGCACTTAAAAACCACCCGGAAACTTCAACAGTGTGCACAGTGATGGATGCTTGCATATATAATACCTTCCAGTTTCTGGGTGCAATCTAAGGGGCTGGTACATCATTTTTAAGTCCTATTGGGCACAGGGCTAGGCTGTCTGTGGGACCACATTTCCCTAAGGACATCTATTCATCCTATCAGATTAGAAGGTGGGCATATCAAACATAGACTAGCAATATATATTAAATAAATGTCTATGGAGATTCTCAGTCATCCAGGTCATGGTTGTCCCAAAGATGCTTTTTTCAAGAGGCATCTGGATTTTCTTTTTTATTTATTTATTTATTTATTTTATTTTATTTTGTCTAGTGCTTATAAGGTAACAGGTATAAGCATGGTTATGAATACATGAAATGGATACATATAAGAAAAAAAAGAAACAATAGGACAAGAACGGTAGGCACATTGGTACGCTTATGTATGCCCCCTACAGACCTCTTAGGAAAGGGGTGAGGTCAATAGTAGACAGTTTAAGGTTAAAGTTTTGGGGGTTTGGGGAAGAAACCACAGAGTCAGGTAGAGTATTCCAGACATTGACCACTCTGTTGCTGAAGTCGTATTTCCTGCAATCAAGTTTGGTGCAGTTTGTATCTATTGTTTGCTCTTGTATTGTTATGGTTGAAGCTGAAGTATTCATTGACAGGTAGGACATTGCAATATATAATTTTATATACTATACTTAGATCAGACTGAAGGCAGCGTCATTCTAGATTTTCTAGATCTACATTTTCGAGTCTGGTGGCATAAGATATTCTGCAACGAGTAAAGGAGTAGAGAACTCTTGTGAAATATTTCTGGACTTTCTCAACTGTATTAATATCAGATATGTAATGCGGGTTCCAGACTGATGAGCTGTATTCAACTATTGGTCTAGCAAATGTTTTGTATGCTCTAGTTAGTAGTGTGATATTACCAGAGAACAAGCTATGCAGGATTAGGTTAACAACTCTTAATGCCTTTTTGGCTATGTAGTTACAGTGGGCTCTAGCACTTAGATCGTTAGAGATGAGTACTCCAAGGTCCTTGACAGAGTTTGGATCATCAACAAGGTCTTGACTATTCAGCTTGTATTTTATTGTCTGATTTTTTTTGCCGATATGTAGGACAGAGCATTTATTTCATTTATTTTTTCATGTCTTTGAAGACGTTTTGCTTCTTGTCCAAGAGACTTTTTCAGCTCTGACTGGATGGTGGGGTTACAAGAAACAAGAAAGTCCAGTTGCCTCTTGAAAAAGCACTTTGGGGACTATAAAATATAAGTGTTAAAAAGATTTGTGTTCTAATACCAATGTCTAGGCCATCTAATCATTGAAGCGCAGCATCGTTTATATTAAAACAAAATCAGATACTGGACCAGTATATGCCTTCAGTTAAAACTGGTCACGATATGATCTCCAGTTTGTCTTGGGACCCCACAGTCACCCCGAGGGGCGGATACTATGTCTATTTATACAGATACCATAGGAGGTGTGCATCCTATTCAGGATTGTCAATTGCTGACCTGGTAGTTCAAAGCCTGGCACCGTTTTTGTCTGATCATTTATACGTCTTCCTAGGACTAAGAGTTCAGCGACCCATTTGGCTTTCCACTGGGAATCGATGTTAAAGTTGTTACCTTAAATATTGCCACCTTATAGGAGTTTGGGATGCAGTGGCTCAGCATTAAAGATGCTTAACTTGTCAGTTGGAAAGCAGACACACAGGGTTTGAGACCCGAGCGTCTCATGATGGAGTGAGCTCCCATTACTTGTCACAGCTCCTGCCCACTTAGCAGTTTGAAGGCATGCAAATGTGAGTAGATAAATAGTACCAATTTGGTGGGAAGGTAACAGCATTCCATGCCCCCTGGGGTATACTCATGCTGAACACATTACCATGGAAATGTCTCTGGGCAACTGCTGGCTCCCTCAACTAACAAATGGAAATGAGCGCGCACACATACACAAACACACAAAACAGAGTTGGAAACAACTGAACAGGGAAACCTTTACCTTTATGGGAGCTAGGAAGCATGCCTTTTCTGTGGCAGTTCCTGCCTTATGGCACCCCCTTCCCCTTAAAGTTTGGTAGGCCTTCACCCTTGTAGACTTTCGTAAAACACTGAAGACATGGCTTTCCCCCCAAATGCTGGGATGAGGTGCCTGCATATTGGAAGCTTGACTTGATGCCAGGTTTTGGTATTTAATGAGTCTGGTTTTTATAGCATAAATGTAGTGCTTTAATTTTTGATTGGGAGCTTCCCAGAGTTTGTTATATGGTGGGAGGTTATATAAATATTTTTAAATAGATAAATAAAACTGTCAGGCACAATTGCATTTTTCAAAGACACTTTAAAGAAGTCACACAGTTGCTCCTTAAAACAAGTGCCATCAATATTTTTTCAATTATTTCTTTTACATTTGCAGACAGATTTTGCTTTCAATGTTTTCACAGCATTTATATCTTTATAAAATTTGTTTTGGATATTAATGTTAACAGCATTTGTTTTCAATTAAAACTAAACATAGAAAGAAGGTCTCTGCATGATTGTCTCCTGCATCTCCTCAGGTCAGTTTCCTTTTGAATGTCATTATTTTTATTATTGATTTGATTCACACTGCAGAAGGCTCCTTGTTTCATTCTCTTCATCAACATCCAAAATGTTTTATTTTCACTAAAATAAGTCCGCAATTTCTCTGTCAGTCTGAACCTGTAACCTTGACTAGATTCTTTGCAACTATTATTTTATTTTTATACGCAGGCTTATTAATGTTCTATGTTTTACATTCTGTGTTTTGAAATGGCCTAATGGCTAATCAGCAATGAACTATGGCATACTGTATACAGTTATACCTATATCTATAAAAGTCCTCAACTTATGATCACAAACGAGACCAAAATTACCATTGCTAAGTGAGGC